TTATAATTTTTGAGTTCAAGAAATTCACAACAAAGAAATTTAAGAATTATTTTGATGAGGAAGAACATATGGTCTTGTCATGTTTATAATCACTCTAAGGAAGAGTCGTTCATAGTAACTAGACTTCTTGCTCAAGCAATAGTCCATTGTTTGAATTAGAAAATGTTGTATCAATTATATTGAACAATGTTGTTCAAATACAATGTCTCACTCAAATGATATCCTCTGTAACCTAACTTTTATTTTGTTTATCTAATTTGTATTTACATTACATACATATAATTTGTTTATGAAAATGGTTTAAACATAACATATCATTTCATTGTGATTAAATAACAAAGAGCATTTAATTGTAATTAGTTGATTATGGTATGATTTGAAAACTATTAGTTATCATTTGTGAAATATAATATGAATATTAAGTAGGTTTTGTTCAAATAATATAAATAAGGGATTGGATAGTGAGAACTTGTGAAAGTCTCATTTTTGTCATATATTAATGATGAAATAAAGGAAATCATTAGAATTATTATCACATAAAATTAACATACAATACAATTATTATATAGGCTATACAAATATATTTACAACATCCCATTTAATGTAATATATTATTCAGAAAACATCACAAGTTTAATAAATTAGAACAGTTAACATGCAAGAACTATAAAATATCATTACAATTATCTAAATATAACTATAAGTCAAGTTGTATATACACATTTTCAATCCAAAACTATTCACAAATTTGGGTCTTTAAAGCTACTAAAAGAAAGCATATAAACTAAAGCATCTATACATTCACACCATCTCTGCCTAGTGTCTGCTCCACAAAAACATTATATACCTCTATTTTTTACTATTCAGGTGACCGACCATCCAAACATACAACAAACACAACAAACCACAAAACAAGGGTAAGCTAATTGTAAAAAAATCAATCATAACATTCACTAGAAGCATATAACCTTTCTTTTCAAACAAATATATACCACATCTAAACTTATTACACATCTATNCATATATTAATGATGAAATAAAGGAAATCATTAGAATTATTATCACATAAAATTAACATACAATACAATTATTATATAGGCTATACAAATATATTTACAACATCCCATTTAATGTAATATATTATTCAGAAAACATCACAAGTTTAATAAATTAGAACAGTTAACATGCAAGAACTATAAAATATCATTACAATTATCTAAATATAACTATAAGTCAAGTTGTATATACACATTTTCAATCCAAAACTATTCACAAATTTGGGTCTTTAAAGCTACTAAAAGAAAGCATATAAACTAAAGCATCTATACATTCACACCATCTCTGCCTAGTGTCTGCTCCACAAAAACATTATATACCTCTATTTTTTACTATTCAGGTGACCGACCATCCAAACATACAACAAACACAACAAACCACAAAACAAGGGTAAGCTAATTGTAAAAAAATCAATCATAACATTCACTAGAAGCATATAACCTTTCTTTTCAAACAAATATATACCACATCTAAACTTATTACACATCTATACTCGACATCTGAATACATTGTCGAACTATGATGAGTTCTACACTTGTGTGGTGGAATAACTTACCCACTCAAAATTACCATACAAGGTTAGCCATTAAAGCGCCTTTTGCCAAATGGTAAGACCCCTAGACTAGAACCTGCTATTACTCCTTATGCCATAACTCATCACCAGACGCTTACTACCATACACTAACTACTAGACACTTATCACCAAACGCTTACTACCAGACATTTACTACTTGATGCTTACTACCATACGCTTATAACCAGACACTTACTACCAGATGCTCAGATGCTTACTAGCAAACGTTTATCACCATAGTTTATCACTATATGCTTACTGCTAGATGATTATACCATACACTTACTAGACGATTATCACCACACATTTACTACCAGACGATTATCACCAAAAACTTATCAACAAATTTTAGTAAAATAAAATTCTAAATGACCTAAAGACAATTCTCGAAATTGTAAAAATTTCCCAAAATCATGATTTTAGAACTTGACTTGTCAAAACTCCCATTTTATGCCAAAAACTCAGCATTATTCTAATTTACTTCAAATCAAAGTTCTGTAATCAATTCACCAACTCATATTTACTGAATCTACATTCTCAAATTTATCAATAAATAATTTTTCATATTTACTGAATCTACATTCCCAAATTTATCAATAAATAATTTTTCACATCAGCAAACCAACTATACTCCAACATTCATAAGTTTCAATTTAACACACCACTTTTTTTCAAGCAACTAAACATACAAAATTATACCATCAATTAAATTTCACACAATCATATAAACATCAAATATAATATGTTTACCAAATCCAAATCAAATAAATTAGCTTCATACAACTTATATTTTTAATATTAAAAAAATCTCTCTATTTAAATATATTATTGACTTTTTAAACTTTATTCTCTAAGTTCTTATAATATTAATATAAAATATATTAATTGAAATCTTATTAAGTGAAACATAATTTACAATTAAATATTAATTTAATATAATTATTATGAAATATTTTAATTATTACTTTTCTTTGTTTATACTTGTTTACACTAGAATGATGATATGTTCACATATGAATAAGTATATATGTATATATTTACATATATAAAATGTTTTAAGACATTAGTTCTCTAGAAGTTCTTTAGATATTTTTATAAATATATAATCTTTCAAAAGTCCCTATTATATATTTATATTTAACATCTTTTATTTGTATTAGTAATAAATAATAGTATATTATACATTCAACCAATGTTTTTTCATATTATCTTAAGGAAAAGCTTTTTAGGTAATTATAGCCTTTTAAGTTCACGGAATAATTTCTTCAAAAACAATGATGGAATCCAATGAGAACCAATTTGGTTAAACATTTGAAAATTGGGAAAGAAATGACACTTTAAGAATTGAATAAAGTAGAATCTGAAGTGATGAAAATGTCAGAGATTTTCAAAACAATCACAAGGAAACATAAGAAAAAGTGATTTCTATTTTCAAGCATTGCATAGGGTTTGTCTCCCTCAAGCACGTGTGATCACACGTGTGACGGCAGTTACAGCCATGGTTTTCTTCTTAGCAAACGGTATTCTTCTTTTCACTGCACCAAAACCGCAACCACCATCCATGGTTTTCTTCTTTGCATAGCTTCTTTTATTATTTAGTCCTTCATCTTTTACTTATTTACACATTCTTTAATACTTTTTTTTCCTGTCTAACCATTTCATTTTGAATGATATTCCTTATATAGTTTAAGAATTAATAAGACTCAATTTAATGGTATATCACAATTAATTTACTGTACACAAATAATTTTAAATGATTCAATACTTTAATGATACAAATTTTAGAAAAAAAAAATGAAATGATATATTTTTTTTTGTCCATAGTTTTAGTACCATGTGTACCAACTAGTACAAAATGAAAATAATATAAGAATAAAAATAAATAAATGGTGACTTTTTACATCCAGTAACATTTTATAACCGTGTAGGAAAGTCTTTTTATAATAATAAAAATAAAAAAACTAAATAACACAAACTAAGAATAGATAATTAAATATATATATATATATATAAATTTATTTTATCGCTTAATTCTTAAGGATGATTTTATCCTTCATACATAAAAAGGTATTTCTTGATGAATTGAATAATCTTTATAAAAATTAAATTATAATGTCTTTTATATAATTTTAGTTTTAGTTTTTTTTTAATTTTTAATTTTGTAATAATTAATTATTAGATCTTATATTCAGTTGTATTTATTTTTTATGAACTCAATTATACCAAATTAAAATATATCTGAATTTGATAATTTAATTGAAATTGCAGATTAAGACTAAAATGAGATAAATGGAAGTGAACATTATGGAAAAAACTTGTTTTTAGAAAATATATAATACAATGAAAAATTCTAAAGTAAATTAATCAAAATAATAATATCAATGCACTTAATGTTCAGATAATTAAATCTCATTAAATAAAGTAGAGATATACCAACATTTGTTATAACATAGATAGGCAAATATTATGAAATAATTATTTTAATAGTTATATCAAGATGTCTTATTTAATTTTATTATCTTAAATTTGATTTTTTTACAACACCTTTTAAAGTTTATGATACTACCCTTTTACTAAAGCAAAATGTAGAGTGAAACATCCCATGGAGGGTGACATTCTAAGTTAAATTTTGGTTATAAGTAAGAATTTTATATTATTGTTATATGAGGAATATTATCTGTATATTCTCATGAATCCATTAATGTATTATTCATAATTAATTAACTATTACAAAGTAAAAAATTAATAAATCATAAATAGAAGTATTCAATTGAGGCTTATACAACTTTATTAATGAAGTCTAGTAAATATTAAAAAATGCATTAAAGGTTTAAAAAGATAATATTATCACAAAAAGTTATTTGTATATATTATTCATATTTTTAATAACCCTACACTTATTCAATTAGAAACAATTATACATATTAATTATATAAATTAAATATTAAATACACATGTAACTTTAAATTTTTATATATAATTTTTTTACATTAAATACTTTACATGGTAATAGTTTCTTTTTAATGTTTTTATACTATAACTTTTATTTTAATTATTAAATCCAATTAAATGTTACAGAGAGAGATATTTCCTCTCTTTCTGTGTAAGGAAGTACTGTATAGCAGTTTGGGAAGTTTTCTTAAACCAGATGTACAAAATAACATTAATTATATTTATTTCATTTAATTTATATTTAATGTACATGCATACATACATTTATTTTAATATAAAATAAAATAAAAAGTACAAAAAATACTGTAAATTAGACAACACCTAATTGCTTACACATAATTTTGGCAATATCAAAAGTAGTGATGCTTAAAAAAGTAAAAAGAAAAGAACTTTTATTAAGTGATAAATATGTGATTTGATGATTTTCCTGTGTGCATACATAACCATCCTCTTGTTTGAAAAGGAGGAAACGGCATCACCACCGCTCAAGCTTCTTTCTATTTTGTTTTCCCATCAATAAAAACCATATGAAACCGTGCACAACCTTTCTCATGATAGTGTAGCTGGGCCATCTTCTGCAGCATTTATGATTCAGACGCAAAGTTCCTAACTTTACAGTTTTCTGAGTTTCTGGTAAGAATTTTATTGGTTCTGTGTATGATTGTTAGAATTTGAATTTACTCTTTTGTGTCTTGTGATTGTAAAGATATAATCATTTATGTAATATGTTTTGTGGGTGTTGACCTAACCATACTCTTGTTGTGCATGTGTGGTTTATTGAAATCTTTTTTTTTTTAATGGTGGGTATCTGCTCATTGGATCTTGGTTTTGTTACTGTCCTGTAGGGCTTTGTTTTGAATCTATTTCTTATTGAGCATTTTCACAAATGAGAAATCTAATATTTGGGAGTACTCTGCTTCTTGATCTAACCTCTTAGCTGGTTTGACTTCATTGTTTACCTCATTTTCATTTTGACTCATTTCCCCTTGTGATTTTGCTTTTTATTTTGTGAGGCAAGTCTATAAACAAGAATTTAGTTTTTATTGTATCCATAGATTTAGATTCAGAAGTGAATCATCCTTTTGGTGTGTGTTTAACCAGCCAAATGAATCAGAGGGTTGTTTGATTCAAATTTAAGATTGTGTTGATTTCAAGACTGTACTTGTTTAGTAATTGGTAATTGTTATGACAATCTTGTACATGCATTGATACAATCTCGACATATCCTTTGGGTAAATGAACAGACTAGGGAGGAATCTGGGTTGGTCTGTGTGTGAGATATTCTTCATGTGCTTAGGATAAATAATGATTATTTTTTGACTTGGGTTGGATGATTGTAGATTGTAACTAGAGATTTTAAGTTTATACTTTGTTTTTTGGAAGCTGTGTAAATATTATCTTCATCATGGGAGTTGTATGTCAAATCAAGACTTTACTTAGATGGCCAACCATAAAATAAGTTCATGAATGCGAGTGTCTGATAATTTTTTGAAATGAAATGAACTTGTTAACTTCCTGAAAGCTGGCTTTTACATACGATTTTTCAGGAGTCGAACTTATTACTATCATTATTTTTGTGAAACTATGACCAACATACTACTGTAGTTATTTTGTGAAATATGACCAAATAAACGTCACTGCTAGGAATATTTGATCCGAAGATCCTGTTTGGGTTGGTACTTTCGGTGGTTGCTTGAAATGGAACATTGAAGTAATGTGATTTACTTTCTAAGACTAAATTCAGTTTTTTTGTTATTGTTTTATCACATCTGCAAAAAGCTTCAATTCTAGACCTCTTTAATATACCTGAATCTGTATGTTCCTGTTTCATTTTAATTTACGTTAGGAAGTTCTGCTTGAGTGCTTTCCTTATATTTTCTTTGTATGTATAATAGATTTTGCAACAGAGACATGGGAATAATTTCATTTTCCTTCATATTTCAAGGATGTAGTGTAAATTTGCTACTTTCATATTTATTTAAAATACTTGTTAATTTAAATTGCTTTTTCTTCTGAGAAAATGCTTACTTGCTGATATTCACGCCTTATATTCACATGTAGCCTATTGAATACATTTCGTTATGTTTTCTGGCTGCTATTTATGCATCCCTGACTTTGTTCATATTGAATATCAGACCAGGTTTTTATCTTGTAGATCTCAAGTTTAATAGTTATTTTGAAAATTTCTTGTTGCTCTATAATATCATTTATAGTACCAACTGTTCCCTTGCTCCTGTCCCCTCCCCTTTTTTAAACAACCAAACAACTTACAAAGTCTTATTATCATCTTGTAAGCTCTTTCATTACTTAATTTTCTTTTAAATTTAACAAGGTAATTTTGGAATCACATATGCAGGCTTATCACTTTTGAAGAAGTTCTCTACTTTACCGGATTAGGTTCAGTGTAATTTATATTGGTATTGTTGTATCAGAAATTCTTCTGAACAATCCCGTAACAAAACATGACATTGTTGGCTAAGCTACGCTGTGTCACTATAGATGTTACCGGTACCCTGATGGCTTACAAAGGGGAGCTTGGTGACTATTATTGCATGGCAGCCAAAGCTGCAGGCCAGCCTTGCCCAGACTACAAACGTATGCACGAGGGCTTTAAGCTTGCATATAAGGACATGGCAAAGAACTATCCCTGTTTTGGGTATGCAGCCAAAATGTCAAACATTGTATGGTGGAAAACCTGTGTGCGAGATTCTTTTGTCAAGGTAAGACATTGGTAAAGTCATTACTTTGGTTGTATGATGTATTAAATGTAATATCTGAGTTTTTGGTATTTACACGGGTACACAAGGAAAGGTAGCGTATTTAGTTTGGTCCTAAATTTCTCTTCTGAAACAATTAATGCACTGAACTAAGAAAGGTTTAAATCCAATCTCTATTGATGTGTTCAGCTTCATTTAAGCTACCAGAATTGGGCATTGAGTTACAAGCTCATAATATTTGCAATCCCACATGTGAAAATTCATAGATAAAGTTTGTTTTTTGGCAGGCTGGATATGTTTATGATGAGGAGACATTTGAGAAAATATTCAGACGCATATATGCATCCTTTGGTTCGTCTGCCCCATATTCTGTCTTTCCAGACTCTCAACCATTTCTTAGATGGCTTCGTGAACAGGGTCTCAAAGTTGGTATTGTGAGCAATGCTGAGTATCGCTATCAAGATGTGATTCTTCCAGCTTTGGGATTAAACGAGGTAAGTTTCCTTTGTTTTTTTCTAAAAGTTTGCTATGTCAGACTTGTAAATGACATCCAAAGATACATTTAGAATTGTTTCAAAAACTACTTAAATACTTAACCAGAAGTGCATAATTTCACATTCTCAAATTTCTGTGAGTGCACTTGTTGGAAATGATAATAGAGAATGGTACACTTCCATTTTCAAACGCAATGCAGTTATTGATTCATGTTCTTTGTAAAGGCTGCCTGAAGCAGCCGAATTTAGCCTCAAGAGAAGAGGAGAGAGAGCAGAAAGGACATTGGTGGAAATTGTTTAGAGCTATCAATGTAACTGATATTACTTAATGGGACAAGTTTCTTTTTTTGGTTGTTGTCATCATGGTGGTGTTTGCAGAACTAAGACTTGCTACTCACTACAGGTCTTTTTGTTGTCCTGTACACTTACTTACCCCGTGACAAGAATGTCTGATTGCTATGTATGATGTTTAATGATGCAGGGATCTGAGTGGGACTTTGGTGTGTTTTCTGGTCTTGAAGGCGTTGAGAAACCAAACCCAAAAATTTATGAGATTGCACTTGAAAGGGCTGGAAACATTCCACCTGAACAAACTTTGCATATTGGAGACAGCATACGCAAAGACTATGAGCCAGCTAAGAGCATAGGGATGCATGCACTATTGGTGGACAGATTTAAGACTCCAGAAGCTGAGGAATGGCGGAAGTCTGGGGCAGTTGTTCTCCCTGATCTATTTACAGTACAAGAATGGCTTTCTTCAACTGAGTCAGATTACTAGAGAGGCTCTAACGTTTTTGAACTAGTATTTCTGTTATCACCCCCTTCCCTAATGATATTACTATTTACTTTCTCTTGTGACATTCAACCAAATGCATGTGGCTGAATATTTCTCTATAGAGGCATGCTTGAGAATCTAAAGGCTAAGAGTTAGATGTAGCTCAAACTCAAACGTAACTCTGCTATACGATATATTTATATGTTACATTCTCTTCCATAGGGTTCTGTGGCTTTCCCCGGTTACAAGTATGTTAGAAGTTTGTAGGGAGAATGGTATGTTTGGTTCTTAAAAGGACATATCAGATTTAAGGTAGTATCTGAGAATATTAGCAAACTACAAAATCCCTGAAAATTAGTTTCTGTATTTCATATGCTACATTCTTTCATGTATAAAAAAGTGTTCTACACTATTTGAAAAATTGCAATCTAGTTTGAAGGGGTTAAATTATATTTTAATGGTAACACATAGTGATTAAATTCATCGTGTCAAAGTTTTTCTGTTTATCTTTCTTTGTATTCGTTATCTTGAAGAAATAATGATCAGTGACGTGAATCTGTGCAGCAGGTATGCAATGGATTGTAGTAATCATGATGCCAAAGTTTTTCAGGTCTGACTGACTACACTCTTGACATTTCATATTTTGTTTTTGGTTCATCCTGACAATTTTTGCTATTTTTTTAGTAAAAATAAACCCAAAAAAAAAGAAAAATATCTTAGCAGACCCTTCAAATTTTATTTAACACACTAGAATCTTTTCCAGTTAATGGAAGGAAATCACTTCGCTGAACAGGATTTCTAAAGGCGCTGGTTTAATATTTTTGCATCCCTCCTAGAAATCAACTTACCATTAGTATATTATGTGGAGTTTTCTTTTTTAATTTTTTATAAATATGTTTAAAACTTAATTTAAATTATAATTTATTATAATTTTAAAATGAATATTTTGAAAATTAAACTTTTGCCCTCACTTAATATATATTTTTAAGATTATTAAATATATATATATATATATATATATATATATATATAACTAATTTGAAATATGTTTGTTAGAATATTAAGTAATATATTATAATATAATGAAATAAAAAGTATTAATTAATTTAAGAGATTGTATAATAAAATAAAATAAATTAGTTACCCAGTTAAACTCAATGACATTTTATTTACGGAAGTAGACTCATTGTTCAATGCCAGAATTTGATTTCTGAGAGTTCAAATTTTAGTAGTTATTCGTTACTGTTTTTGATAATATTCACTTATCGAGTTATATTCTCTCATAGTTTCCCCATTTAAAAAAAAACAGAAAAAAAGAAGAAGAGATTATTTTAAAAAAATTATTAAGATTAACGTAACCAATAAAAAAGTATGTTTTAATTTCTTCCTTCGTTTACAACGAATAAATTAAAAATAATTTAAATAAAATGAAACAGTTTATTATAAGTTAATATCAAATGGTGTTGTTTAATTTTCACTTTTAATATAAACTGTTGTTACTAATAATGAATGATATAAAATTTAGGAAAACAGAAAAATAAAGAAAGAAACATTATACTTATTCATGATAAATTATTTAAAATAAAATAATTCAATTATATTGGTATTAGGTTATAAATAATTAAAAATTTAATTAATAATTTGATCTTTATATTTAAGTTTTTATTTTGTTTTAGTTTTATGTTTTTTTATTTAATTGAGTTTTTATTTTTTTAAAAGACTCGATTGAGTTTTTATTTTTATAAAATGTGTCTAAATTTTAGTTATTTTTTATTCAGAAGTTATGTCAAAATTGAAAAGATTTTAAGATAGAAGATGATAAAATTTTGATGTGACATTTTCAAACCGATATTCAAATCAATTTAATAAATAGAACACATTGAATTTTTTTTATATAAAAATAAAGATTCAATGAAATATAAGACTGAATTATTAATTAGGTTCCAAATATCTATATTAGTTAGGAGAGACGAATAGTCTCGACCTTCCAAAGTCATTATCAAAATTACCATACATTTCTTTCTTTGTAAAAGAGAGAAAAAGGAGATTAGTATAATTGGTGATTAGAAAAAAATACAATTTTTAATATTATTTGTTCATGCATAAAGTAAATGTGATGTAATATATGTGAAAAAAAAAAGTTAAATATGTTTTTAGTCCCTAAATTATCAAAAGAATTTGTTTCTAGTCAATCTTTTAAACTAAACTACATTTTAGTCCTTCTATTTAAGGAAATCATAATTTTTCGTCCTTCAAAACCAATGACGTTAAGTTGAGGAGGCTAACAATAATATGTCACGTCATTTTTTTTCTAATACTAGTCAATCTTTCCCGGCTTCTCTCCCTCCGACTCTACTACATCCACCTCCGACGCCACCTCGAACTCCTCCGTCGTGATCGTGAGTCGTCCTTTCCTTCTCACGGCCATTCCCTAGAGTCGAATCTTGAAGTCCTTCACCTTCGCCACCAAAAAACTCAAAAACATATTTAATCCAAAAAATAAATAAAAATTGATCCACACAATCTTGTAACGTATAAGGTAAATGTGATGCAATATGTAGAGGAAAAGAAGAAAAATTCATCCATATTGTCTACATAATATGTAAAGAATAAATTTTAATAATTTCACATAAAGATTCGACATTAAAAATAAATTTAATATTAAAAATATTATTTTGAGTCATAATATTATTAGTGAATTTCGATTAATGGTATTAAATAATTCCGATGGATTCTACAGGAAGAAGTGGTATTTTGAAGTGTTGTTGACTTAACATTATTAAAGTCAGCAAGCTGGAAAGTAACCCTCTCCCCTTTGATTATGCACTGATATTAGGTGATGAACATTTATATTAGTGATCGTTTTCCAATACTTTAAAGAATTGTATTGAAAAGTATAAATTCTTACAAAGTTTCAATTTTTAAAAGTATTAATTACGGTTGAAGTATTAATTACTTAACTAAAAAAAAGTTTTGTTACTATTGTGTTTTAAAAGTGAAAATATTATGTTAAAAAAAATAATTACTAAACATCTAATTACCATAAAAAAGATATTTAACATAGATAATGTTATTATATATGTATTAAAGTATATTAGATTGAACTAATAATATGAAAAAGGTTTTTATTTAAAAATATATCAAATATTATTTAATTATCAAAATTTAAATATAGGAGAAATTTAAATTGTTATACAAGATTAATTGTATTTTTTTACAAAATTAAAACTATATGTAAGGAAATTAAATAAAGTTCTAATAACATATATTAAAAAGGTGATCGAGGTTATTTTTGTTTTAGTCAAATATGAACCTTCTTATATTATAATTGTCAATGTACCTGTTATATTCTAAATTAATGAATCATTTAATTAAGGACTGTGTTCACATCTAGAATGGAATTGTTTACGCATAGGACAGACGGATTTGGAGTTAAAATTGTGTTCGATTAACGAATTGGAAAGGATGGAAAGCAAGCATTGCGGGATGAACATTTTCTCCATTGGATAATAGCATGGGATTGAGGGAGATTGGAGTGAAATTCTTCTTTTTACCCCTTTAAACATTTTATTCAAAAAACAATTGAAAAAGCATCCAACCTGGTATATGAAAACAAAACATTTATTTGAGAGGTGTGATATTGGAGGGAGATTTGCTATGGAATTGTAACAGTCCCAAAAATACTAATGTAAAATCCATATAATAGGATAATCACATATAATAATATTATAAGCTCAGTTCGTTAAAAGAGATTCAGTATGAATTCACCGAACGATCTTACAAAAGGACGAATAGTAAACCGTACAGAAGATCCAACTAGACCGAACGGCTTACAATAATAACCTATATCAGATCGGTCTATCAAAAGAAAAGAAACAACAAAAGTCCGAACGTTCCTATTGTTCGGTAGCACCATCGATTGACCGAACGTTTCTACTGTTCGGTCTTAACTTCTACCTCCACCAAGTTTCCTTCTTCCAGCAACTCTTTCTCCTTCTGTCACATCACACGGATGATCATTGCAACAGAAGGACAACAACCGAACGTACAAAACGCGACAAGACAGAAATAGGGTAAGCTTATGTAATTTAATTCAAGTATCAACATATATTTCACCACAATCAACTAAACAAGATAAATCATTAACTCTTTCATGCAAAGCCTAATACTAGACTCTGATTGTCCGGACTGTATGAATTATGTGTAGCTACGACATTCGTGCACCCGGGTGATGTAGTAACTGGGGTACCCTCAACAGCTGCCACCCGAGGTTAGTCCGTTCCATCCAAATTAACCATAAGGACTAGGACCTCCTGACCATTCCCACACATGACTTACCCTTCTAACGTGAGAAACGAGTAATCACGGAATATCAGGATGAACCGCCAGCTAAGTTTTATCCACATTCATACGTTTACCATTTCAATATTCAATCATGAGATATTCACTCCCCAGAATACTCTTTCATATTCATACTCATTTCATCCACATCATATTCCATCATCTTTCATTTTCAAACCTCAAACCGAACCAATTTCAATACAGATACATAGGATACTAACCGAATACCAAACGTTAATCTTCAACCCGAACGAGACCGAACACTTGGAGTGAGACCGAGAGGTCTCCATTCCGAAACAGATCAAGATCAAGAGAGTAACTAACATGGGGTTGTGAAAGAGACCAATTACAATAATACCTCTCAAAGAACTAATAGAATCGAACGTTATTTACAAGGTGAGCCAATTTAATGAACTGACTCATGAGAGTTTAGACTCGAACGCCAATAAGCCTAGGCCGAGTACTAAGACTCTAGGCCGAACACATAGAAACTGTACTGTAGAACATCCAATAATATTAATGAAGGAAATATATGAAGAAAGAACCGGACCGCTATAAAATACTTAGCTATTTATGAGCTTTATATCAAGGAAACGAATGCTAGTCGAATACCGAGACTGTAGAACCGAAAGCTATTGGTTTGACCGAATTCTCTTATTTAAAAATTAGTTTAAGGAATGAAGGTCGAGGCGCTTGGTTAAGACCGAGCACCAACTTAGTACGAGTACTAGGTGTAAGACGACGAAGCACTACTAAAATTATAAATAAAGGCTTAATAAATATAGATATCATTTAATTAGTGTTCAAGAACGAACGAAATATACAAAATACATATAGATATACTAAAGTTTATAACCAAATACCAAGGAACGACTA